AAAATTCCCTACTATACTACTATTAAGTAAAGATATTAAAAAGAGCACTAGAGAAGCCACTAAAAAGGAGATTAAGGACTATTAGGAGCGCGTTAGATTAATCCTTTACACCTTAATTATAGTGCGCCCTAATATTACCTATATAGCCTCCTAGCTCTCCTAATACCTTACTAACCTATCTAAACAACACTTTAATGCGGTTAATTAAGTAATTATCTATCTATACTAAACTTAATACTAATTAATCTAATATAGGAATAGGGATCCTAATAAGCTTATAATATATAGTAATGCATTATTTGCTAATAATATTAATACTTAGTAATTATTATATAGATACCTAATTACGCTCTTTAGAGGACCTATTATTTAGAAGGTAGCTTAATAATTAACTATTACTACTTTAACTACTAAGGCAGAGCTCCTTGCGCTTAAGTAAGTAAGCAAAGAAGTAATAGCGTTAAAACGCTTTTTAACTAAAATACACCTTACTTTAGATACTACCTAGACAATTAATTATAATAATTAATAAACTATTAGGTTAGTAGTAGGTAATAATAAAAGGATTACTACTAAGCTGCGCTATGTAGATATTTAAAATATATAGCTTAGGCAAGAGTATATAAAGGGATCTTTCTATATTACTTACCTACTTACTAGTAATATACTAGCTAATAGGCTTACTAAAAACCTAACTATATAATAATTTATAAGGTTTAGGGAGCACCTAAAGTTATATAATAGTAGAGTATATATTATATAGTGTTAATTAAAGTAAGGTAGTATATAAGATCTATTAATATATAATATAAAAACAACTAACTATAGCCTACCTCTCTATTATTAACTAGGCAGCTTCCCTAAGGAGCTCTATCACGCGCGCAAAGCGTGCCTTAGAGTCTATAGGGGGCCACCTAGGTTGCTCTACCCTAGGATCTATAGGGGGAACCTTAGAGGAGCTAGAGTCCTTATCTTCTAATAAGGAGCTCTAGGCGCCCTTAGCTGCAGAAGCAGCCTTGCGCGCAAGCTTGGCGGCAGTAGTAGTAGCTTTTACTAGCTCCTGCTGTTTAGCCTTGCTCTCCTTAAGGAGCACTAAGACCCTTTGCTTCTTATCCTTAAGAAGGTCTTAGCTCTTACCTACCTGCTTCCTTGCTAGGAAGGATAGCGTAGAGCGTTAGGTAAGCTTAGGGCTATTAATTAGTTTATTAGTATAAGATCTTACTAAAAAGTATTATAAAGGAAAAATTCTTGTATAGATTATATATATTAGGACATAGCTATACCTAGAGGAGTACTACTAGCACTAAGTCCCCCTACTAGAAGAGTTATAGCACTTGCTATTAGACTTATTAAAGAGCGCTAAGAAGCCCCCCCCTCCCCACCGAAAAAAAAAAAGTTCGCGCCTTTCAAACATCGCTGATGGCATTAGTATTACTTTCTCCCCCTTCCTTGCCGGTGTCCCCGGTCTCTTTCATTCCCAACATGGATTGCGGAAGAAAAACGGAGACAAGAACAGGCTGAACTAGTAGGAGCTAGAGTAGGAGCGCCTTACCTTAGCTTTATAATCTTAGCTATAGTAGTAGTAGCTACACGCTTAGCTACTACATACTCTATAATAGCCTTACGCTTAGTAGTAGCGCGCTCTTCTTTAGTAGTAGTAGCTTTAGCAACTATAGCTTTAGCTACGCAGGAGGTAATAAGGGTAGCGTAGGTAGAGTAAGCGCAAGTAGTAGGTTTTAACTTTAACTAAGATAGGTTAGTAGGGATATAGGTATAGTTTAGATCTTTAGGGTTAGATAATCTTATAACTTAAGCTATAGTAAAGATTATAGTTAGGTAGATAGAGTTATAGAGCTCTATCTAGATAATATCTATACGCGTAAGCGTAGGCTAAATAAGGAAGGCGCGCTAGTTAGTATCTAAAGGGTAAGCTAATTTAACCCTTTAGATATATAACACTCTAATTAGCTACACTACCTACTAACTATAAGTGTAACTATAATAATAAAAGATCTACCTATACCTAGGGGGTGTGTTATAGGAGGGATATTAACTAGATTATAGAGCATCTTAATCCTAATTAATCCTAATTAATACCCCTATATAACCTACTATCTAATTAACTGCTAGCTTACTGCTAAGTGCCTAATAAAAAGTAGGAGCTCTAGTAAGGAAGGTTTACTAATTATTTACCTTCTAGTAAGGGTAGCTAAAGCTCTATATATATAAGTACGATCGTAGTAGATACAATCTAATAATCTATCTCCCAAATCATTCCTAACCTTAGTGATCTAAATTTCCACATATAGTAACTAGTTCCTAACTAGTTCTTAATATATTCTAGTCTATTATATAAGTATATATAAGTAGATAAATATATATTCTTTCTTCTTCTCTTTCTTCTTCTTTCTTCTTACACTCTATAAGAACTTTTTATATTTAAGAGTTTAATACTATTTTACTATCTATCTTTCCTAATATTATTAGATATAACTAGTTAATATAGTCTATAAAGATCTTTTAAAGTTAGTATATAATAGAACGCGTTAGGAACACGTTATGAACTTGTTCTAACACTAAGTAGGATTTATACTAGTAATATATTAAGCTTAAGTTACTTCTATCTAATACTAGGGTATTCTCTCCTATAATATCCTACCTAAATAAAGGGTGTATAGTATTTCCTAGCAAGCTTTTCTACTAGGCTATTTAGGCTAGATTAGGGGTATAGGAACTTTATAGAGTATATATACATGCAAGTTAGAATATATTTATAATATATTAATAACTATTTTAGTGTTGCTTCTCTAATAGAGGCAATCTTATCTACTACCTTAAGAGGTATTATCCTAAGGTTTAAATAGCCCTAGTAAACTATAGTAGAATTACAATACAAGGCATTATAGAAGTAAGGATCTTCTATAGAAGCTTAATAGTAAATACTTAAGAATATATTCTAAATATATTAATAATACATTCTCTACTAGTAGAGTAGACTATACTAAGTGCCTCCTCTAAGGTTTAAGAACCCTCTAAGATAGCTAGTCTATAATAAGAAGTAGTAGCTAGAGTAGAGGCTAAAGAGGAAGTAGAGAGTAAAGAAGAGGAGTAAATAGTTGCTCCCCTTTACACTATAAATAATATTTAGTAAAAGTAGCAAAAAAGAGATATAAGTCTAGTCTCTTAAAATATATTTAGAATATATTAATAATATATTATAGCTAGACACCTATAAATACTAGATTCTTCTTTAATCTAAGGGACTACTAGAGCTTTATAATACCTATAAAAGTAAAAAGAAAAAGTTATATACTATTAAAGGACCCTATAAAAGTAAATAGTACTTTACTTTTAGTAGATAAAAAAAAAAGAGAAGAGTAGAGAGTTTATTTTAGTAATTACTACTACCCCTTTAGGTTATATGCTATTATATATTATTTATTAGAACCTATTCTTAATATATTCTTAATATGTTCCTACTTATTACTATTATTATCTCCCTCCCCCTCTCTAGTATCTTCTCTATCCTCCCTATCCTCCCTAGGCTCTATAAAAGTATACTGCAAGTAGAACTAGGTAGTATTCTAGTAGGAATTAGTAAGGTCTATACTAGTATTAAAGTAATAGTCTTAAAATATATTAGGAATAGGTTAATAATATATTATAAATAACTTACTATAGCTAGGATAATTATAAGCGTAGATAGTATAAGGAACCTAATAACCTTAAATCCTTAGTAGAGTAGATATAGTAATAAAGTTAAGCTATAATAAGTTAGTAATATATTTTTAATAGGTTCTTATAGGCTATACCTTATTACTATTATAGCTAGTGTAAGTCTTTTTCTAAATTATATTTAGAAGGGTATTAGTATTTATAGGGGGGCCTATAGTAGCTACTAGCTAGGCTTAAAGAACTTCTATAAAATAAGTTAGTAATAAGTTTTAAATATATTCTAAATAACTTATAGTAAAGAGTATTCTAGTAATTATATATAACCTTTATATAAAAGTCTATATATATTAGTATAATAAGTTAAGAATAAGTTAATAATATATTTACTCTTTACCTTATAGACCTCTCTTATAGAGGGCTAGCTAGTCTTCTTAACCCTACTAACCTTATAGTAGGCTATATTAAGCCTATAATCTTTTTTAGCATAGGTATATAGAGTGCCCCTAGTACCTAGAATAGCCTAAGAATATTAGAACCTATTTAGAATATATTTAGAACCTATTCTTACTCTATATAAGGTGCCCTTATTATTAATCTTAGTATAGTAGTAGCGCTCTCTACTCTCTATCTTAACTACCCTATTAGGGCTAACTATAGGTTATACCCTAATATTATCTAGGATATAGTTAAGGGCAAGGTACTATTAATAGTACTTCTATAACCTATTAAGAATATATTCTAAATATATTTTAATCTACTTATATAGGATATAAGAGATATATTAGTAATAAGTATAGTAGTAGTAGCTTATAGTATTACTAGTATAGAATATATTTAGAATAGGTTTAGAATATGTTGCAAAATCTTATAGTATAATATTTAGTTAACCTTGCTTAGCTAGCTAGTAGAGCTTGGCATAGCCTAACCCTATACTAAATACAAGTTCACGCAGCGCTAATTCTATGGTTATATAAACTGCGCCCTCTATCTAGGCCTAGCACATGGGCAAATGTCAATCTAGGTAACTTGTAGTACTGCGCTACAACCCAGGTTGGATTAGCGCGGGGTGTGCACTAGCGCGGGGTCCGGTCCGACAAATCCTCCACCCTGCCCTCACTTTTGGAGTCATAGCAAATTATTGACTCGTGCCTAAACTCGCCAGTAGAAATATTGAAGGGGCATAAGGATTGTGAAGATTACACAAACGTGCGGGTTGTTTAAGTCTAGGCTTGCATCACGCATATACTGAGCGCATCGCAAGCTACGCCTCTATATACGGCCACGTCTTTCCCCCACCCCCCGAACACCTGCGCGCAGCTACCACCATGCCTACGATCGCGGTCGACAAAGCTGCACTCTTCAAAGAGCTGGGCCGTGAATACACGACAAAGGAATTTGACGAGCTCTGTTTCGAGTTTGGAATCGAATTGGACGAGGATACAAGCGAGAGTACGAAGCCAGAAGACCAGGCGCAGCCACCACAATTGAAGATCGAGATACCAGCCAACCGATATGATATGCTGTGTTTTGAAGGAATTGCACTCAACTTGAAGGTCTTTTTGGAGCAGCAAAAATTGCCAAAATGGACAGTCACAAGGCCGCAGGAGCTACAGGTTTTGGAGATCAAGGAGGAGACCAAGCAAATACGAGAGCTGTGTTCCGGTGTCATCCTACGAAACATCAAGTTCACACAAGAGCGTTACGATTCCTTCATCGCACTACAAGATAAACTACATTCCAACCTCGCGCGCAATCGAACGCTGGTCTCAATTGGAACACACGACCTTGACAGTAGGTCGATTGGAAGTTGCGCCCAAGGTCAAGGCTAATCGCTCGCAGCTGTCAAGGGCCCCTTCACATACGAAGCCCTACCTCCGGAGCAAATCAAATTCGTTCCTCTCAACCAGACCAAGGAGATGAATGGAAAGGAGCTCATGGAGTTCTACGACGTATGTAGACACGCACTGCTCGAAAGCCCCTCTGACAATCAGTAGAAAGACAAGCATCTCGGTCGCTTCCTGCACATCATTCGTGACTCGCCCGTATACCCAGTCATCTACGATTCAAATCGCACAGTTCTCTCGCTACCCCCGATCATCAATGGCGACCACAGCAAGATCACACTGAACACAAAAAACGTCTTGATCGAGATTACGGCAACAGACAAGACCAAGGTTGAGATTGTCAATCACATGCTCGTCGCCATGTTTGCCGGATACGCAGAGTCAATAGAGCCCATTCAAATTATTTCACCACATAATGGCGAGTCAAGAGAGTCACCAGACCTTTCGCCGAGGGAATGGAAGGTGGAGGTTGACTACCTGAACGCGGTTACAGGTTTAAACCTTGCGCCAGAAGAGATTTCCAAGCTTTTGTCACGCATGGGCCACGATGTTTCGCCTTCGAAGACTGACAAGAACATCTTGGACGTTTCAGTACCGATTACAAGAGCCGATATCCTCCACCAGGCGGATATCATGGAAGACTATGCGATCGCATACGGATTCAACAAGCTTCCGAGATACTATCCAAACAAGACCGCCGCTGTCTCGGCACCGCTGCCAATCAACAAGCTTGCGGACATTGTTCGCCTAGAATCCGCAGCCGCAGGATGGACAGAAGTCATGCCCCTCATTCTCTGCTCCCACGAAGAGAATTTTGAATGGCTCAACCGCAAGGACGACGGCAACATGGCCATCAAGCTCGCCAACCCAAAGACGGCCGAGTACCAGCTCGTGCGAACGTCGCTGCTCCCCGGTCTGCTCAAGACCATAAATTCGAATAAACACCACTCGGTGCCCATGAAGATCTTCGAGGTCAGCGACATCGGTCTCATCGATATGCAACAGGAGCGCAAGAGCCGCAATGAGCGCCACTTTGCTGCCGCCATCATGGGCAAGACTAGCGGCTTCGAACAGGTCCATGGTCTCCTGGACAGACTCATGCTCATGCTCCGCTCCGTCTTCCTGACCCGCGAGGATGGATTGAAAAACGAGCAGCTCAACGGTTACTGGATCGAGGAAGTCGAAGGTGCGCTTTTTCCGGTTTTTCCCTTCCCCCTTTCCCCCTTCCCCCCATCTTGGATTCAACTAACCCATCCTTTTTTTTGCAGACGACACTTTTCTCGCCGGTCACGCGGCTGCCATCAAGGTCAATATCGAGGGCAAAAATCATACGATTGGCGTGTTTGGCATTTTGCATCCCACGGTGCTGCACAAGTTTGAGCTGCCGTATCCGGTTAGTACGCTCGAGTTTAATCTCGAGGTCTTCCTTTGAGAGGGTGGCTGAGGTGAGGGTTGGGGATTGTGGGTTGTGGTAGTGATGGGGATGGGGATGGGGATGATGGTACAGTTGTGTGCGTGTGCATGACGGGGAGCCAGATTAGAGGCGGTGACTGTGCATGTAAATCATCAACATCCTCGATTACATTGTCCCTATCTTGCCCATACTATACTATAACCTCAACCCACACATATCCCCCCACCCATCCTTCTCACCCACAAACTCGAATCCCCACAACAACCCCCCGTGCCCTCAAATACACGCCACCCCCTTTGCAAATCTCAAAGCAGTGCTCAACACCCACACGCAGCGTCTCCACGTCCACGACCGTTGCTTTCTGGGCAGTTTGCAGGGCTGTTGTCGAGGCGTTGGAGGGATGGGTGATTTGGAAGGTGGGGGGTGTGAGGAGGGGGTTGGGGGATGCGGGTTCGATGTAGATTTCGAGGGGGCCATGGAGATGGGGGGATGGGGGTGGGGATGGGGGGATGAGAGGATTGGGGGTTGGGGATGTGAGGATGGGGATAGACTGTACTGGACTGGACTGGTTTTCAGGATTTATAGGACTTGGAGTGTGTGGAATGGTAATGATGGGCTCGTGGTTGTCTTGCGACGGCACTGTGCTATCGGTAGCAGCTTGAGGCTCGTCGTCGTGGTGGGAAGGTGTCTTGCTAGATGTCGTCTGCGCAGACACGTGACTGCTCCGTCCAGTCTCCAGGAAACCGGTCGGAGCCTGGGATCCTAAATCTCCTTCTCCATCGATGGAAATCTGCGTCTCGGGCAAGCAAGGCAGCGCTGAAACCCCCAGCTGCGATGCCACATCCGCCACCGCAACTGTACGCAATGTTGAAGTCGACAGGGACAGTGCAAGCAGCGTGCTCTCACTTGGATCCGGGTACCTAGTCTTCGAGCGTCTCGTGAGCAGCATTCCAAGACTGCTCTTTATTTGGCTCTCCAGGACGGCGGCAAACCTCTGTTCAAGATGGGACGACAGCGGGGAGTTTGGTAGTCGCCACCCGGGATAGAGCCGCCCGTGTTGTCGGGGCGTGTACATGTTGCCGTGGGTTGAGATGAACACATTGCATAAGAAGCATGCGTCCTTGCTCGAGCATATGACGCGTGGTGGACGGAGGGAAGTGTTTGCATCACAATAGTATATCAGTTGTACTTCGGCGTGGATCTTGGCCTCTTTCAACGTCTTTCGCGCTTGGTTTGCAAATTGCTCGTTTAGTTGTTGGTCTGTAATGTTCAACAAATGGCACAGATGTTTCAACTCTGGCTTTCGGCCATCTCCTGTGATTCTTTTGATCGTGGTGTTGAGACAAGGACTGGGATTCTTAGCAGTGCCATAGGTGGTTCTCTTGAACGCGTCTTGTGCCAAGTTGACAGGTATGATTCTCATGCTTTGGACGGGCTTGTACTTTTTGGCTGTCCGATATAGATAGCGAGCAGCCTCGCGGTAGCGTGATACCTTGCTCACTATGTTGACTAGACTTTGCCGTGAACTCGGGCACATGAAGCGGTTCGGCACGAGGTCAAGCAGCGGCTGAAGGTTTCCCATCTCGTTCAAACGATAAACACCATCTATCAGTTGTTTCAACTGCGAGTTGGTCTGATGTCTCAACCACTGGTCAGCTAATTTAACAACCTCCTTGCTTCTCGTCACGAAGCCTTCACAAACATCACGGTGCCCGCCGAGCTGAGTGATAGTAAGCTTCTGGATTCCGCGAATGGCCTCTTCGCAGATCAGCTTGAGTGACTGTTTGAGTGGTTGTGTGCCTTTAGCCGTAAATCTCAACCGACAAAGGATGCGAGCCGAGCACATGTCAATGATTGCGTCGAAGATGCGATCCTCGTGGCCGTGGGATCTCAGACTTTCTTTCTTCCTGTCAGCCCAGACGCGCGAAATACGGATGCGACTTGCGCACCGGCCGAAACTGCTGATAGAATCGCAAACAGCTGTTCAAAATGGCGTTGTAGCTCCAACAAGTTCGAACGGCCGTCTTCCCAAGTGGTTTTGTTGACAGCCACTAAGACATCTATGGATTGTGAATTCTCCTTGAGGCAAAGCGCTGGTATATGGTTTGTGTCGACCCTGGTATTCGCGAGGAAGGCTAGGATGCTGGCTAGACGTTGCTCTCTTGCAAGGGGTAAAGTATAGTCATCTTCCTGTCGATGATTGATTGTATTGGAAGATGGCAGTGCAGGAACCGAATGGAGGAGATACAGAAGAGCTATATTTTCTGAGCATGATATTGCAAGAGACGAAGTTTTCATCGAGTAATACGGAATCAAAAACTATTCGCCTCTATCTCACAGATGCCGGGTGGATGAGATGGACTCTTTGAACGTGCTGTGAGACTAGGTAAACAACTAAACTTGCTATCTGAGATTTAGTCTCAAGTCAGACGTCTGTCTTTGTTAAAAGGAGCTGATGCTCCGGGTGGCACAGATATACTTGAAGGACGCTGTCGTGTAACTACGACTGCATTGCTACGACAGACGTGACGTGTAAAGCAGTCATCAATTGCATCCTCTGCATCTACATGCGTCGCCTTACAACGAATGCGTACCTATCATCCCGTGCGGGATAGCCTCCTCAATAATAGCCACGAGGCATGGAATGACCAGTAAATCGAATTCCTCTGTTAATGAGCGGTAGACCCAGACAGATGGAAGAGGGGTCATGAGGAAGTAGCCATTGTGTTCGAAATCGTGTTACACACGTTGAATCGTTATGGATGCCCCATATCTGTTCGCTGTTGAATTGCAACTAGAGCGAGCGAGTAAGTTGAGGCCCCTCTCGTTTGTGTGAGTACATCTTGGTGAAGAAAGTATGCACGCCAGAGGATGTCTAACCTATTTATTTATTTCAAAAGCTCAAAGATATGCTAGAAATAAAAGATAGCTACTTGTGTCAATCTTTGGAAATCCGGACATAGGGCAATGAGAACTAGGCCTCCTGCTTGGTCCATCGTTGTTCGTAGTAGTCATTACTCCCGTCGTTTCCCAAAGATCGAAGACGAACGTGCTACTGTGAGGATGAAGGGTACGATGACTGCATGAGAAGCCTCTTAATTATGGACCCGCCGCTAGAAACTATTAGGCTCTCATAGCTGGTTTGCCTGTACTCGACGCGGAGGGTGACAGCCTTATGAGTGAAATGAGACCTGTATATCCCGAGATGAAAGACAGGTATGGTTGCTTACAAGACTCTAGGGGAGCTCCATCAAAAAAAAAGCTTTCGATAATCGCAATGGTTATTCAGACCAAGTAGACGGCTGTCAAATTGATTCGGGTAGCATCTGCACAAAGACAGTAGACCAGCCAGTCTGTGGCTGACGAGCCACCTACATCAGTGTCTCCAACAACAAGGATGTCATATGCGTTGTTTGGATCGACGCCTAGCAGTTTTAAGATTTTCGAGGTAGTGCTTGGACTGGCGACATTGGATAGCAATGCGTACAAAGATGGTACAATAGTGTTGAGTAGGCAAGCTCCACTACGGTGTAATACTGGTTTACTTAAGCCATATTCATCTAAAGTAGTGTATAACTCATTACTACGTCACATGTGCGTATAGCATGAAAGCATCATAGCGAAGAATATAAATAAACCCCCCTGTAGTAGCTAGAACTAGGGGTAAGTTAAATTATTAGGATACTTATCCCTATACTTAAAACCACCGCCCTACACATCTACTTGAAACAATTTTAGATTGTAGTGCTTAAAGACAAACAGGGCGGCAGCAAATATAAATAAAACTACTTTTTATACTTAAATTAAACCCCCTTTAGTAGCTAGAACTAGGGGTATATTATTAGGACATTTATCCCCATACTTTAAACCACTGCCCTATACGTCTAGTTGAAACAATTTAGATTGTAGTGCTTAAAGACGAACAGGGCGGCGGCGAATATATTCCTAAGTCTAGATCGATGCTAATCACATAAACGAAACCTACAATAATGCTTTGAAATTTGACGTTGACACGTGCAGCGAAAATGTAGAAGATACTGCCAACAGTGACGCTTGCGCGCCTACCGTCTGTGGGTCAGGCAGTGGCCCAATCGCAGGAACATCTTACCCGCTATATGCTATAGAGAAGACGTATAACCGAGAATCACATGCAGATACACCCGGCAAAGAAGATATTGCCCACCGTCATCTCTGGATCGCGGAGCATTTTATCACGTCGAACTTCACCAGCCAGCCAGCAGAACAACTTTGCAACTCTGCCACATCCTGGAGCCCTGACTACATCGGTCCTGACGGTAGATATTGTGATATGAGTTCTAAGAATTTCAGTCCGATTTGTTTTACGGAGGATATCGGCGGGTGCGTCGAGGTGGATGAGAACGGAGGCATTCTGGTGAAGCGTATGAACGTTGCTAGGCGTTGCGCAAACATTGTGCACAAGTTATAGAATCTCCAAGTCGGGACCTTAAGGTATAATTTGACGTACAACTTGGGAGGAGACGTGAGTGAATGCTTTGAAGAACTTCATCTCAGAGCCGTGACTAGAGTTGGCGCTGACTGTTATTTATAAGTATTCTCGTTTCATTCATTGGCTCCAAGCTCCGTATTATGCATAAGATTCGTCGACATAATCTATTAAGTCTCTTCGTATAGATGAGGAATAGGACATCAAACGTCCTCTTGCCTCTTCTTCAACATCGACCCTATGCGGATGAGCGGATCAGGTAGTGTCCAAGTGGAAGGTGTCATAGTCACGGCGCAACGAAAATACATAACCTGCAAAATGGAAAATGGATTGATACGCAATATAAGTAAAGGAATTTACCTAAAATATTCCTTGAAAATAACGAAAATCTACTTAGTTATAAGTTGTTGGGCGAAGAAAAACAATTTATTTTTCATGACCGCGGGGAGAAACACTGGATACTGCCATCTTTGTTCTCTAATGGCTGCTCGCAACTGAAGCAAGTCGACTCCCGTGCACCATATTTCTTGCAGCTGTTGAACACATGCCTCCCATCAATTCGGCCCTTGGCAGCCTTGAGCTGTTTTTCCAAGTTAGTCATGCCGCTATTGTGCATCTTCTGCAGAACAGGCCAGAAGTTGACCTACATATATTCCTTCATGTCTAGGTCCTGGACCAGACGATTGAGCGACCCAGTATTGGCCTGCTAATTGACCTACAAACTGTAAGATGCGAGAGAACCAAAAAGCGAGAACCACGAGATCTACCATAAACGTAGCCAAGTGTACAGTCACCGGCCACTAGAGCAGTAGCAGCAGAGTCAAGTTTTGAGCCGTGTACGTATTGGCATGCACAATAGTCATGCTTGTCAGCTAATGACAGGCCCCTATTGAGCGTTAGCAATCTCATGTAAGGACTTCACAGGTATTGTGTGAATACCAGAAGAGTGCTATAATAGGGAGGACTCCGAAACGCATCCTGGATTTGGATGAAATATACAAAAATATGAGGTCAAATATTGGCAGGAAACGGAACATGAATATAGAGAGAGGGTTTTTTTCGAAATACGCAAGCATAAGTCAGATATTATAGCGAGTGGGAGCTTATGTACTGTTTAGAGAAACAGGTCGGAGAGTTCCGTTCGCCAAGATTCACTGCCTTCGTTGGGAGTGTAACTGCATTGACGTACTTATACACAAGATTTAGTCTATCAACTTAAAGTTCGGAATTAAGGAGCGTGCATCTCTTACCGGAGGCAACCGTAGTGCTTATTCGAAAATCGGCGAAATTGGCAGTTTGTATTAGGAAAGACTGCGAAAGTTGCATTGGCTGTGGTCGTTTTAGGGTCCGTTTGTAATCATCATTTCTTTCTCGGGCAGTCAGCGGCGATATACCAGCTAGGAAAGGGCGTCGTTTGTCGTAAGTAGATAGAAAAGCAATACCGGCGGCGGGCAATATCATCATGCATTTAAATTCCGTTTTAGAACTGTGAGAACCCTGTGCCACCGCAATAATGCCGGTCTCTCCAATTCATTTTTACGGGGTAGCTAGTTATAGAGTCAGCTGTGTTCTGCAGACAATATCATAGTCGACCTAAGCCCTGATTCTTGTCAACTCCTCATCACAGTCTATCTCAGACCATCTATTAAGCTCCTTTATACACAGCGAAGACTGGTTTCTACTTCCAATTATCAAAATGCTTTGGTTCATGCTCATTTATGGTACCTTTTTCATCACTCTGGCTTCCTGCATGCCAGCTCCCCATTCCACCATACAGGAGCGAGGCTTCGTGTCAGATATATGTACGGCTTTCCGACCTCCCCCAGCTGCGCTCCCAGCCCTCAACATAGAAGTCAGTCAAATCATCAACCAGAACATCATTCCGGGAAATCTACCACTTCTTTCAGAACTTCCATTGACCACCTGGTCCGAAGGGGATGACAATCACCGTGTGGAGTTCCGCGCCTGGAGAAACCCGACCGCTGAAAATGCTCGATCCTTTTATGCCTTTGTCGAAGTCCAAGTCACCGGGCCTGCCAATTTGCTTATTCAATTAACTGGGACCTCTGAGGCCAACCCCGCCACCGGTGCCCCGGGCTTCTATCAACATACAGCAGACACGGCTTCTGGTTCTGGCGCGAGTCGTTTCCCTAGGCGGCGTGTCGTTTTCCTAAATGTTCCTTTTAACGCTGAAAATGTTGAATACAAGCTCACTGGAAACTGGGCTAACTTATAAGTGTATGATGAGTATGCTTCAATTTTGGTTATCAGGGATGCTTTAGAATATTGAATATTGCATTATAATTATTCGGAGAGAGCTCATGTGTATAAGCAACCCCTTGTATATCTTTTTAAGTAGGAGTCTTAGGTTATTTCTACTGATTTTGCGTGCACTTAGATGTGAGTTAAATTCAATAAGTACCGTTAGTACTAGTAGTAGAACAATTGAAGTACTTACGTTAGTAGTATTTAGGTACTGCTTTTGCATAGACAATCTCTATCCTCTAAATTTTTCCTAGCTCGTCAAATTGATCGTCACGTAGGTAACAGTAGAAGCAAATACTAAACAAAGATTTAACAGACTCGTAAGCAGGATCCAAGTACTGCTTCGCAACACATATGAGACTCCTGACCATGTGCGGGTCTTCGCATTCAGAATCAAGTCTCTCGTTTGTTGGAAACGGCTTCGAACGACAGCTGAACGGATGGAAGAGGAGTGATGAGTGTAGAGTAGGGTAGCCGCTGTTATCGATAGCTGAGTCATGTGCATGGCGGGGAAGTTATCGGAGTCAACATCGAAAAACATTACCGAACCCCGCTGCCACGTCTTGCCTCGAGCACCTCAACACCCTCGCCATGTCGATTGACTTCCCGAAAGAGGAGGAGCGTATTCTTGCGCACTGGAAGGAAATCGACGCCTTCTTGCGGCAAGTCGAGCTGGTCAGTTTCTCCCCGTACAAGGTTTCCAGAATACAGTAATGATTGTGTGCAGTCAAAGGGCAAGAAACCATACACATTCTATGATGGCCCACCCTTTGCGAC